GCCTCTAAGTATAAACTGGACAGAATTGAAAACAGAGACTCAAACATATACCTGGGCACCAGTGTTCATAGCAGGATTATTCCAATAGCTAAAAGGTAGAAACACTGCAGTGTCTATCAACAGATGAGCAGGTAAACAAAATGTGTTATATACACAAAAGGGAATGAAGTTCTGATACAAGGATACTTCAAAAAGTTCAAGAAAAAACAGAATTAAAAGACAATACGAATCTTTCCATGAACTTTTAATTTTAAAGTACCCTCATACATGCTACAACATGGATGAACCTTGAGAACATTATAAGTGAAGTCAGACCCAAAAGGACAAATACTGTATGATTCCACTTACATGAAATATCTAGAACAGACAAATTCATAGAGAAGAAAGCAGAGAAGAGGCCACCAGGGGCTGGGGGCTAGAGGGTGGAAAGAGGAAGTTATTGCTCAAATAGGTAAAGTTTCTGTTCCAGATGATGAAAAAATTCTGGAAATAGTGGTGATAGTTACATGACACTGTGAATGTACTTAATGCAACTGAATCATACACTTAAAAATGGTTAAAATGGTAAAACACATACCAAAAGGGAGATGGGGAGAGACCCTTCTCATAAGGTTGTGAGGATCAGAGGCGTTAACACGTGTAAACCACTGAGTACAGTCCCTGGCAGGTGCGAAGTGCTGTATTTGCTATTATTATTGCTTTATGATATGCTCCTTTGTTCTGTCCTACTGGTCTGTTAACCATTAGCCTCTGAACCATCAATTACAGGTAGGGGCTGTTCTTTTAGAAAGGCCATTGAACTGTGGGAGTATTGCCAGGAGGAAAATCAATGTATCCTGATTTTATGAAAACACAGGTCATCCCATACTAGCTTGAGGTATGAAAACTGTTTGTTCCTCATCAGGACAAGTCACCATTATTGTTTCAAACAGTGATAATATTTTGATATTTTGTGACTCTCTAGAAATTTCATAATTTCCCTAATTTTGCAGATGAGAAGACCAAGGGATATCGAGCTGCTAAACTCCTCCAGTTGTTGGGTGTTAGAGCTGACTCAACACTTATAGCGTCTCTATTTTACATGAGACTTGAAACTGGGGCAGAGGTCAGTAAATAACGTGGAAGCATTTGAAAAGTGCTGGGAAACAGGTTTGTAGCTTGAGAGGGCAGGATCGTGAGATGGTTCTCCGGTGGCAGTGGAACACAGAATTGTCCATGTTCTCATCAGTTACCTGGGTAAAGAATGGAAAGCACTGCTTACGTGTCCAGGTGTCAATCACAAAATACCCATGTATTTGGCATCTGGAAGGCTGGGTCAAAATTTTGAAGTAATTCTAACAGTTTGAAAAAGTAGTTTGCAATAATCAGGGGAGAAGTTTAAAAGAGATAAGGATATTTAGGGAGGAATAAACGACAGCCTCACGAATTCAAGACACCAAATATTAGCTCTGGTGGAACCTGAAGGAATGATCTTTCTGGGATCATTGACAGCTCACTCTCAGCCCACTCCGAGCTTTGCTGCATATATCATTACACACCTATCACACAGCATACGAAAATGTACATAAAATATGAAATGGCAGGAGGCTCTGGAAAAGCATTTTTATAGCACCTAAGGTCCTTTTGTTTCTCTGCATTGGTCAGATGTTAAAGGGTCTGAAGAAATTGTAAAGGAAAGTAGGAAAATGGGACAAAAAAAGAAAAGTTAAGTATTACCTGTATTATTACAATTCAACAGCAAAAGGTGTGTTTACACTTAATTAAAATTCACAAGGTAGTCATTTCACAGAAATCCTCTTTGGTGAGTTTAACAAGCCCCTCAAATTTACATTTTTAAAGTTCAGTACGTACTGCCCATAATGCCCAAGCAATAGTTTGCATTAACAAGCCACTTGTATATATGGTACATATGAGTTCACGTGTAGGAAAGTGGGACTGATGGTTCATTTCCTCTCAGAACTATACAGGGAGAAACAGAACATAAGACTCCAGCTGGCAAAAATGCAAGAAGATATATATATATATATATATATTTTTTTTTGGATAGAATTTCCAGATACTGAAATAATCAGAGGAAGAATCAGAATTTGACTATTTTTTTTTTTGGATAGAATTTCCAGATACTGAAATAATCAGAGGAAGAATCAGAATTTGACTACATATTTTCAGAGAATATCTGACCCTTAAACTCCATTACATTTTTCCTGTGTCCTCAACCATTAAACTTGCAGTCTGACTTGGCATATATCCCTTTACCTTTGGCCTGAATTCTCTTCTTGTAAACAGTGCTGTTGCCAACTTATAAGCAGTTTTAGTTCTCCTTCTAATGTGTGTGTGTCAGATATTCAAAACCAAGTGAGACCTTCCAAACGTGTACTTTTGTTTGTGTAAATGATCAGTCCCTCATAAAAATCACTAGCGGGTCCAGGGTCAGCTATCTCAGTGCCTTCTCTTCTGTCATCAAACTCTTCCCCCGCTTGCAGCAGTCGACTTTACATGTATCCTAACTGGATCCTTTCAGTCAGGGCCACCCCCAAGCCCTTTGACATGTCCATGTTGGTGCATCTCTGCCTGCTTCTCTCTGTGGTCTGTATCTTTAATAACTCATTGCATTCCCCTACTGTCCTTAAGAGAACAACTCTTAGTCTCTACCCCACTTAGACAGGAGGCTAAAGTTATTTAGTCTTTGCCACAGCTCTTTTCAGAACAGGGGCCCTCTTTTCTAAATCTGTGGATCTCTACATTGAAACACTATAACAAGCTCTGAAAAAAATCCAAGGAGTACGTCAAAGGGAACAGCTTCTTTTACAAAGGCCCCATGTTTTCTCAAGTTCTCCAATGTCTTTGATAAACCTCCACTTGGTTCCCTTTTTCCTGATTCCTCCTCCTCTGATCACTTTCCCACTTTTTTTTTTTTTTTTTATGTGGATCTCTACATTGAAACACTATAACAAGCTCTGAAAAAAATCCAAGGAGTACGTCAAAGGGAACAGCTTCTTTTACAAAGGCCCCATGTTTTCTCAAGTTCTCCAATGTCTTTGATAAACCTCCACTTGGTTCCCTTTTTCCTGATTCCTCCTCCTCTGAACACTTTCCCCCTTTTTTTTTTTAAATCCTTGTTTCGTGTTGGCATCACTTCACTAGCTAAAGAGGTCATTTAATAGTTTGAAAAAGTAATATGTGTCCCCAAGGTGTTCCCCACATGTAGTCATGGGAGCTGAGTAATCACAACATGACTATAATTCCAATGCTTTTCATTACAGTCACACATAAAGTTCATCAGGCACTCAGACATAATCACCTTGGGCTCAGTTTAAGGAAGCTCATCTTTAAGTAACAAATACCTATCATCTTAAGAGAAGACATAATTAAGTAATCATTTCCCTAATATTTTTTCTTTCAAGCATATTCCTAAGGGCAAATATTATAAGTCTCAGAGACAAGATTTAAAAGCTCAATTGTTTTCTTAAAAGAACATTTCTTAGTTCCACTTGTGGGTAGGATTAATATTCTGCTTACTTTGTTAATTCCATTTGGTACTATAGTTCAGTAACATGCTAGTGGCAAATGAAATGATACTTAGACTATTTCTAAAATCTGAGAGGCAGAGATTATAAAAGTTCAGTCCCCTGTGTGTATATAGTAAGTTATTCATGGGTAACATGGTTCATATTTACTAAGTAGAAAGCCTAGGAATGTAAGGTCTTATAGCATATAATGTAACGAGTATTTTATTAATAAAGAGAAGCAAGGTTAAAACCTAAATTTTCAATTTACTTTATTAGTTTTAGACCAGGACTTTACAAAATTGATTAATATTTTAAAACTCACCTGGATCATTCGTATGAAAGCCACTGTTACCCGTTCTTCAAATTCATTCAGGGGAGTATAAAGGTTTAAAATTTTGACAATCTGTTGTAATAAGAAGCAAAATTTCACACAGAGTTAAATGAACATAAGATGATTTTTGAATTTTAAAGAATGTATGCCAGTGGTACAAGAGCATAATCCTCTCTAGACAAGACCCGCAATGTAGATGGAGCTGGAATGACGTACTTTAGCAATCTACATCCAGCAAACAAGCTGCTTGGTGGAGCTGGGCCCTTTTACCTATACACCCACCCACCCTCTTCCTATGCTTGGTGGCTTATAGATAATGAGGAGTTTAGAAAATTGTTGCCTGAAATCCTCAGTCTCTTAAATTTAAGCTTTCTTCAGAAGAGTTCTGGGGGTCCCTTAAGCTTGTGTTTTGTGGGTTTACCACACTATCTTTCTAACTGAGCAAAAGGGATCAGAGAGTTACTGGAAAACAGTAGCTGTGGCATATGGTTTTACAGACCAAAGTGGTCTTTGGTTCATCCAGCAACATCCCATCAGCTGCCACTTCAGAGTTTTATCATTAGGGGTATATAGAGGCTAGGAGTGCAACATTAAAAAAATAGCCACTGGCAAGACCAGATGTGAAATGGAAGTTGGGCTTGCTCTGGCTACCACGGTTGATAGAGGCACAGAATGAGCATACCTGCTGGGTGCTGAGGGAGGTACACAGCGAGCAGATGGCCTCTGCATCCTCGTGGGTTTTCTTCTTTAATTGCAGGAGTTGGGCTGCTTGGATCAGAGGTTCCATGGTCTGAACTGCTCCACTCTGGTGAAGGTTTCTTCCCCGCAGCCACTCTTCAAGTTGACTTATATTGTACCTTAGCCATAGGTAAGAAGTGAGTTGTGTTAAGCTGGTCCTCATAGTTCACTGGGATGAGAACCCCTGTTGTGTCTCATGGGCCTGTTGCAAAGAATGTCATCGTTCTCCTCACTTTATTATCTCACGTGGTTAAAAACTTGAAAAGTGCCTGGCACTCAGTAACTATTTGTTGAATGAAGAATGAATAAATGAATGAATGAATGAATGGTTGCTTAAAATCAAGCAAAGATGAAACACCTGAAGTGTCTGGTGAAGAATGAATGAATGAATGAATGAATGAATGAATGAATGAATGGTTGCTTAAAATCAAGCAAAGATGAAACACCTGAAGTGTCTGTATAAGTAATGGGGAAAAAAGGTATTAAATATATTGAAAACAATTTGTATTTAACATTCACAAACACTTATACTTTTATGTGAGCCTTCATGCCTTCTTAACTTGATTTTTTTCTCTGATCTATCCATATTGTATATGCAGTCTTGAGAGTATGTAAACGTCTTGAAGCTTTGAACTAATTTGTTTACCCAGTCACCATCTTATTGTTTGATGAACTTAACCCACAAATAAAAAGGTGATGGATTTGAGTCACCTACTAACTTTGACAAGGACGATCAGATTTGGATTTCATTTTTGGAAACAACCAGCTTGTGTTCTGATTCTAGCTGGTGTTGGCAGGGGCCCACTCTATCCATGTCGTTGGAGTGACAGGCGTCTCTCTTACCTGAGTTGCATGCCTGTGCTCCAAGAGCAGACGTCTTTCCGCAGGAGCAGGTTGTTAAGAGTCACTGCATTGATCATGTAGAAAAGCTGTTTGAACACCTGCATGATGATCTCAGGGTCCAGGCCCTGGTCGCACATGACTGTATGGAAGGAATTCATCTGGCGGATGATGGCTTCCAGGCAGTATGCGTTATCCCCATCTGCCATGCTGGAGGAGCGCTTCCGGTAGCCTGTTGGCTTCACACCAGAGAGTCCCTGTATGCTCTCATTTTCCAACATGGCAGAAACTGAAAGAAAAGCATGATTAGAGAAGCTTGCGTGTTCCCCACAAACAAGATCTGTTTTTAGACCACAGGTCATATAGCACCTGGGGTTTCAGCAATGATACCATCCTGAAGTGTACAATGTTGACATGCTCAGCAACTTAACCATATTTGGCAAAGAATTTCAGTGTTGGTCTTTACATGGAATAAAATAACTAAAAAAAAAAATTTTTTTTTGGTGGCTGGTCAGTACAGAGATCCAAACCCTTGACCTTCGTGTCATAACACCACACTCTAACCAGCTGCGCTAACTGGCCAGCCCTCTATATGAAATAAAATGGCCATGGACCAGATTTTCACTTAAAGTTATTGGTGACAGGACAAAGATAATGGGCATGGACCAACAAGCTCAATTCTGTGCTGCCTGTGTTGAGAGCACAAAGTTCAAGAATTGAGCAATTTGAGTGTAATCAGCACTGGCCCAGCCACTGACTATGTAAATATTAGGTTAGTTGCTCTGTTCATCTATTGGGCAATGGTTATATATGTGCAGGGTATTTTATGTACAGTATCTCTTTCAATCTTCCAACAGACCTATGAGGTACTACCCATTTTATTGATAAGGAAATTGAGGCATAAAGAGGTTAAATAATTCGCTGAAAATTACACTACTAAGAAGTGGGCAGGGCCAGGATCTGAGCCCAGGTCTGTCTACCTCCACAACTGGTGCTATTAACCATCCCATTATTCTGAGTTAGGAGGTATCTCCAGCCTAGGATGCCAGTTCTTTCTCTGTCTGGCACCTTATAAGAAAATTGCCATACAGAAAGAAGGATCTAGATTGAACCTTAGCCCAAAGGATATGTATTTCTGGATTGGTCCTACTTGGAATTCACCTATACCCTACTTCTGTTGTAAGACCCAGGGAAAGTATTACACACAGTCCAGGTACAGTTTCCTCCCAGTGAGTGATGTAGATACACATCATTTTTCTTTTCACTTAAAATATAACTGCTCTTATTTCTAAATTCTGATTTTGTGCTCAGTGCCCAAGTATACTGCTGTGTACAAAGTGAGTGCTCAATAAATATTTATTACATGAATGCTTACTGCTGTGTTCTTTCACACGAACACTCTTAATGCTTTCTTTTTTTTCATGAATAAAGTATGTAATGGGCAAGAGGATTTTTTTTCACTGAATATGCACTTATACCTTTTGAATTTATATTTATTACCTCTTAAAATTAATCTATCTTGGGAAAAAATAATACAATGTATTACAGAAAAAGAGATGAAGGAAAAACCGTCTGTACTGTCACTACCCTACATGATATATTTTTATGGGATGGTGTTGAGAATGTCACAGCTCTCCTTAAGCACAGTGCACACACCTCCTTAGCTGCCTTCACTGGGAAGGTCCTGGCTTCCTGGGGGCCGTGGCGAATGTGTGTTGTCCCCTGTATCAGGGAATGCCTACCACATCTTCCCCTCATCTGAGACCCCATGATGAGTGATGGAGGTGGCCTGTTGCCAGCTTACCTATCATGGGCTGCAACACACCCTCGGCAATTTTAATGAGCTGCTGGTAGATCTGAATGGAAAGGTCACTCAGCACCTGGCGGTACTCGGTGAGGTCAAAGTTCTTAAGACAATGCTCGTTCTGCTTCGCCGTGTTCTGAGTCATGAAACCCTGCAGATGGAGAAGCGTGTGCCACTGAGGTTCTGTGGTCTGCTCCAATCAGAGCAACTTCTGGGGCTCTGGTCATTCTTTAGCATTCTCCTATTTGTGGGGTTCCACCCAGGCCTTCTCTATTTATTTAATGTTCTACAAAATGCTGTCAGTTCTTCGCAGCCTCAGTGATGGCCCTTGAATTTACAAGTAGTATAAAGCCTCAACATGATGGAGAAGTCACAACTGTGTGATTAAAAAGGCGTAAATCATTTAGCCCAAATCCTTAAGGTGAAATGATTTCCCTAAGGTAGCAAAACTCAGGTTGGTACCAGTCCAGAGAAAAAGGGATGTGTGCTTTCTGACTCTTGGTTCAGTGCTCTCCCCCATATGCCAGGTTACCCTAAAATGTCCGATTATATACGGCCCCTAAAGGAGCATGGCCATGGGCCAGATTATATGTTTGCATAATAAGAAATTTTATTTGGTTTCTATCTGTGGTTATCAGAATTAGTAAATGAACTAAAGTGAATCCATGCTACAGCACTGTGTCCTCTTTCTGTATTAACAAAATAAAATAACATTAAGTTACAAGAACGGCTGACATCAAAAGGAATTGTGACCAATGCCCTCTTTATTCAGGCCAAGAGAAACAAACAGCAGCCAAAAAGATGAGGGCTTTCAAAAGTGTGACCATCCCGGACCGGCCCGGTGGCGCACTGGATAGTGCGCCGCTTGGGAAGCGCGGCGGCGCTCCCGCCCGAGGGTTCGGATCCCACATACAGACTGGTTCCCGCTCGCTGGCTGAGCGAGGCACGGGAGCAACACCGAGGCTTGCGGTCCCGTTGCAATCCCATTGCCGGTCCCCAGTCCAGTGCGAGGGCAGCACTGAGGGTTGCGATCCATTGCCGGACACGGAAAAAAGACAAAAGACAAAAAAAGGTCCCGTTGCAATCCCGTTGCCGGTCCCCGGTCCAGTGCGAGGGCAGCACTAAGGGTTGCGATCCATTGCCGGACACGGAAAAAAGACAAAAGACAAAAAAAAAAAAA